GATATCTCAATTTCGTATAGAATGTTTGAAGAGGTTGTCTTTTTATATAAACTTGCAGTAAAAACAAAGCCCTGCATGTCTATACTATTTGATCCTTATTCATTTAATATCGTAATCATAAAATTTCGATAAGATCTGTTTTTTTATAATATATGTCAGTTATTCTAATGTCTATTTGATATTTTCTGAACAACTTTTGATAGAAACAAGATACAGAGTTACGGTTTAAATCGTTTGAAAAAGGTGATGAAGATTCATCGAACCATACATTATAGGTTTTCATATTATATTGTATGATGTTTGTTTATTCAGTTTTCTAAATCTAGGGAAGCTGATTTCACATATCAGAAATGAAACAATAGAAATTTTTTTTACAGGAATTGCCAGAAAAATCACTTATGGCTTCGACTAGGATACCTATAACTTCTGAATAATTAGTTCTAAGCCTCTGAATCTTGTGCAATTTTGTAGAGCTTTCATCAGTGGTTTGAGTACAGACCAGCCAATTCAGAATTCACTGTAAACACCTCATGGATAGGTTTTTTGTCAAAGAGGTCGATTGGAAACCTTTAAAAAATCATGTCAAAAAAAATCTATAATATATGACTCGATGCATCTTCATTATCTTTTTCGAAAGATGAAAACTGCAGCTCCTTATGTTGTTTTCATCAAAAGTTATTCAAAAAATATCAAATAGACATCAATATAATCGACATTTATCATAGATAAACAGATTTTATTGAAACTTTATCATTATGATACTAGATGAATAATGATCGAATAGTGTTGAAATGCCAGGCTTTGCTGTTACTGGAAGTCTATATAAAAAGAAAATTTCCTCAGGCAATATATACGAAATTAAGATACATTCGCCAATACTTTTGCTATCCTCCAACAATAATAATCAGAGAGATATTTTGTATTACTGAAAAAGATTGCTATAGTGTCATTAAAATCGAGGTATTTCACTATTCTTTGGGTTGAAAAATTTCTGTGATTGAGCTATTTTCATCTTCAGAAAAGAAAAACAAGTATAAGGTGAACATAAAGTTTTAGAGAGACATATTAGAGATAAAGCTCTGAACACATTCAACGACTACCATCCTTCTCCTGAATAGAAGGTCCTCTTGAATAAATGAAGTGAAAAGATATTAGAAGATCCTATCTTGAGAAAATCAATTTTTTAAATTAATTTGTCGTGGTTTTTGAATTAGTTTAATATTCAATTTCATTATAATATGTCGAGTTAGTGTCGAAAATGTTTTGTTTATCATCCGATCGAATTGTAAGTTTCGACCGACAGCTAATATGAAACAGCATCCTAATTATTTCAGAATGCGTTTCTTGATTGGAAATATATGTTGAAATCATTTTAGTATTCCTTTTGCACTTGCTCTGAAAAGTCTTTATGTCGTGTATATGAAAAAAGTGCTCATGTTCATAAAATCCAAGAGACACAGTACACACTCGTGCTTGTAATATGCGATGAGATATTTCTAAAATAGTAGCATATTGGATATAAGTCCGTTGTATTTTAATGAAAGCTTTGTTTAACATTGACTTTCTTTTAGAAATTTAGAAAAGCCTTTATTACAAAATAGTCTTTTAGAATTAAAGAGAACAGAACTTCATGTAAACATGTCGAAGTTTGTTCTGTGAATACTTCTCATGAGTCTAAAGAACGCATTTATTTTCTCAGTAAAATCGAAAGAAATTTTTCGAAAAAGATACAAAACAATACACAAAATGTATATTTGATTGGTAATTTTCTATGAACTGTCTGTTCGTAAAGCAACCATATACATTGAAGTCAGCTTCGGATTAATAACTACGTTAGTGGTAGATTTCATTGAAAAATCTTCATCTATAATAATGAAACCTCAACACGAGCAACTGACTTCAATAAATTTGACAAAAACATTAATTGTCTTTTCTTCTTGAGCTATTCATTTATTGAGAAGTTAAGATAGTGTCAGTGAAATATCTCATTCGTCAGTAAAAAAGAATACTATTGGAAGTTTACTAGGATGTAATGGCACATCGATTGTGTTGTTCTAAGGACCCTTGCTGACCGCGACCAGATCTCTTTCTACAGGATAATATTTACTTCTTTCTCATTCTACATGTGAGACTAGAGAACTGAATTGACTTAGTAATGATTTGTTGCGCAGAAATGAATTAAAACTAGAATTTCTTGGCCAGACTAGCAGAAAATATAACTTGAGGGTGTGGGTAAATTTTCTTCCATGTCTATTACTTGGGTAATGGCTTAAGCAGTTCTTGAGATGCAAAAGGAATGATTAAAGCAGTCTTAGCTTTAGCTAAGTTTCGCCTCAGAATATAGTATTTCTGAAGATAATTCACTTTTAGAACTCTTTCAGATCCTCAAATTTTGGATCAGCTATTTCAGTATTTGAGATCTGTGATTGTGAAACCCAGGATTCTTTGGCCTTTGGCTGATATTCGATTCTCCTTATTAGCTAATAAAAAGCGGAACCCGAATTCGATCTTAAAGACCGAACCCGAACCCGAACGTTCCGGTTCGATGCATGCCTATCCCAGAGACATTCTTTCGTTCTTCATATTTTGGAAAAATTGATAAGATATCATTCAAGATCATACAAGTTTATATGATACTAACTTTTAAGAGAAGATTGGCGAGACCATCGAGTATCATGTCCATATACGAGGCACCTAATAAAAACTAATTTTTTAATTTTTTTTGCTTATTCAACACTTCAATGTCTGAAATTACCAACCCCAACATTTTAGCTTCTAATATCCTTCCTTTGAAAAGTTAGTCAAGATCGACTTTTAACACTATCATGACTTCAATAGAAAAAAACACTAAAAAATTCTCTAATAAAATGATGCCAGGTTGCGTCTCAACAGATCACTGAAATTTTTCACGTTATATACCAGAAGATAGAGAATAAAAAACTGAACAAAATATGCTATTTGAATATAATATAGCATCTAGTAACTCAAGTTTTATAAAGCTAAGATTAGTCAAACCGCGTCTTTTCCTCAAATCTAAAACGTTCACTTTGACTCAATACGTCTAATACTGTGTTTCAAAATTAGAGAGTTCCAATCTGAATTTTATATATGCTATGCAACTTTTAGTTCTCTTCAAAATGGTAAAAAAATGGTGCGTTCACGTGAAAACCGGGCTCTCATTCTCCTAATTTTTGGTGGTTTTTGATGGTTTTGCAATAAAAAAGGAACATTTTTAGCTATTTTCATTGTCGTAACATAATTGTAAAGGAAAATAGATACGATATTCAGAATCAGTGATAAAAACTGGATGGAATAATATACATTTTATTGAAATTTTTTTCTTGTCCAAAACTGACCTGTGGGGTACCAGGGAGAAAAATGTTTTCAAAACACCGCTGTGGGAATCACAGGTCACTTTGGGTCAGAAAAAAAAATTCAATAAAATGTATGTCAATCAGTACAGTTTTTTATGCTGATTCTGAATATCGTATCTATTTTCTTTTACAATTATGTTACGACAATGAAAATAGCTACAAATGTTCCTTTTTTATTGCAAAACCATCAAAAACCACCAACAATTAGGAGANTGCAACGCGGTTTATAAAACCGGTAATAAACGCTAAATTTGAAACCGCGGTTACGAGTGCACACACCGCGGTTTTTTGTGAACGCGGTGAAAGAAACCGCTGTGAACCGCGGTTTTCAGCGGTTATAGAATTGACACCGCGGTGGTGTGCGATGAAACCGCGGTTTTCGTATAAAAATTTTTCCGTGGGTATACATATAAGAAATAAAAAGAAAACGATAAAATGAAAGTCATTATTATTACTCTTGTTGGTATATGTTAATATATTTCTTGTAAGCACATATAATTGATTCAATTGAAATTCTTAATTTAATACGTCCGAAAAGAAGCAAGGAAGAAATTATGTTTCGAGAAATAAGATTGGAAATCTGAAACACGAAAAAGAGAAATTTCAAGGATAAATTTGATAAGAATAAAAGAAAAAAAAATGACTTCGTCGTCTCATCTGAAACCTGAATATATAATCAAAAGTAACAATTTTTAATCCAATATATGTTTATATTGAATACGATTCTGCAGTTCATGTAGGAATATTGATTGTTAATGACAGAACTTCCATATTTGTAGCTGATTATGTTATGTTTATAATTTTTTCAAGAAAAGAATAATTGTTAAATTAATCTGAAGGTCATCTGATTTAATATTCAAGCTTCCTTGTACTGTGCCTTTGAGAAAAAAATTAAATTGAAAGGACAAAAATTTTGTTATTGGGAATATCCACTACAGGGGAAGGAAGAACAAAATAGATCCACTTAAAACTTTATTGCTCTCCTAAAAAGGTACTGCTTTATTACAGTATAACGTAGAATATTGTACTTTTGAAAACTGAAAAAACCTTGGACTCTTTGCTTTTGCATGAGATACTTAATATTCGGTGAAAACACTGCTTGTATTACTGTTTACATGTCAGAAAGAAGAGAAATGAATGGATGATGGTAAAATAAGGATTCATAATTTTATTGGTTTGCAATGTCTATGTCGAATGATAAACGTTGTGTAATGTCATAAATGTTTGCATCATATGCTCGACTGCAATTTTTGAGTGTGTCTACTATATTGAGACTCACTTTTCATCCTTCATACATATGGTTATGCTTGAATGCATCTGCTATTTGATTTTTGTTTCAATAACTCAAACCAATCAAATGATTGATTATTACGTTATTTTATTTGCATTTTTTAAGTGAGAATTCAGATATGAGCTGTTTAAGAAGATACTTAAATGATGAGCAAAACAACAACATATTGAACGTATGAATTGATCAAGACGAGGCCAATAGTTAATCTCCATCCAATTGAGATTTCCTGAAAACGAATTAAAAGATTATGTCAGCGATATAAGTAGAAATTATTATTGAACAGTGTATTATGAAATATTTTACACTTTTCAGATTTTCTTGATTTTTTTTTTTAGATGTCGAATGAAATTCTTAATAAAATCTGTTCAGGATTACCATTGAATCCTTTACCACCACCAAAAAAAACTCGAAATACAAATTTACCACATGCACCTGATCGAAAACCTTCATTAACAACTAAAGATAGAAAGGTTATTCATCAACTTGTTTTTCTAAATTTCTTTCTTTACAAAAATTATTCAATTTTAGTTAGCAATTAAAAATGCACTTCGTTATTTTCCTTCAAATATTCAACCACAATTAATTGATGAATTTATATATGAATTAGATACTTATGGTCATATATATATGTATCGATTTCAACCTGATATCGAAATGCGTGCATATCCAATTGATGAATATCCATGTAAATGTAAAGCAGCTGCAGGTATTATGTTAATGATAATGAATAATTTGGATAAAAGAGTTGCTCAATTTCCTGATGAATTAGTTACATATGGTGGAAATGGTCAAGTATTTTCTAATTGGGCTCAAGTAAATAATCCGAATGAAATTCGACATTTTTCTCTAAAAGGTTTTGAAATGTTTTAGTTTCTGTTCGTTATGAATTATTTGAGTATTATGACTGATGAACAAGTTCTTATTATGTATTCAGGACATCCATTGGGTTTATTTCCAACTAGAGTTGATCGCTCACCACTTGTAGTTATTACTAATGGTTTGGTATATAAAATGAATTGGAGATAGAATCTAGATTATAATCGTTTTATTTATTTCTAAGATGGTTCCAAATTATTCGTCAATGAACCAATATGATTGACTGTTTGCACTTGGTTGCACGATGTAAGTTCTGAAGAATTCATTTTTATTTAGAAACATTAAATCTATAGGTATGGTCAGATGACAGCTGGATCTTATTGTTATATTGGGCCGCAGAAGATTGTTCATGGAACATTTGTATGTAACAAAATAAAGCGCTGTAGGGAAAGGAGCTATTTTGATTAATTGGAGATGGGATCAGATTAATCCAATAAAAAAATAGTTGTTTCAAAAAAATTAATTTACGTTTTCAAGATATTTGCTTTTTTAGAATCTTTTAGTGACGTAATGCAGTTGCCTTGCAATTGTGTATTTTTCGTTCTCTAGTAGATTCTAGATAATCAGAGATCGATAACTTCAAATAAAAGTTGAATTCATTCATCTCAACATATACTACGACTCCGATCCAATCGAAATGAATATAACTATATAAAATAATAGTCATGATCGTTCAGACTAGCAGCCTCCATTCAACACATGTTATACGAAAATTTACTACTATTTCAGTTCTAAAGTTATCTATCGTCTGCAATATTAACAAAGGATCTCGATTAGGATGGATCCCTCAAAAATGTCTGACTTTCTGTCAAGTTTCTAAAGCTTCGTGGTAACATTTGCCTTTCTCTGTTGTAGGAGGGGCCGGATCGCCTCTTCTAGCATTCAGAGGATAAAAGTACTTTGTGTCGAAATTTTGGCTCCTTCCACCTCTAAAAAAAATCAATAATTCCAATAGCAATTGATAAGCTTTTTTGGATACCCCTAGTCTATTAACAGAAATACAACTAGCATTTCAGTTTACAATCTTAAAAACCAACGTCTAGTATATGAATGAAAACTCATATTTTCATTATAGATTACGATTACAAATGCAGCTCGAAAAAAATTTGGTACAAATGATCTTCGTGGAAAAATATTTGTTTCATCAGGTAATATAAATAATAGACGTGATGTTGAATGAACAAATTTACTTATTCATTAGGTTTGGGTGGAATGTCCGGTGCTCAACCAAAAGCATGTCAACTACTTGGTTGTATTGGTGTTATTGCTGAAGTAAGCGAAGAAGCTGCAAAAAAACGATATGATCAAGGTTGGTGTCAAGAATTAATTTATGATTTAAATCAATTAATTGCTCGTATTCGGGAATGTCGAGAAAAAAAATTAGCAACATCTATTGGCTTTGTTGGTAATGTTGTTGATGTTTGGTAAGTAGGTTTTCTTTTTAATAAATTCATTTATATTAAAATTATTTTCTTTAGGGAACATTTAGCAAATGAAAAAGAAACACTTGTGGATCTCGGTAGTGATCAAACATCATGCCATGATCCATATCAAGGTGGATATTATCCAGTTCAAGTAAATTATAAATGAATTGGTTTTTTTTTTCTTGCTTGATATAATTATTCGTATTATTAGTTGTCATATGACGAAGCTCAACAATGTATGAAAAATGATTCAACAAAATTTAAAGAACTTGTTCATGAAAGGTTATTTTATTTAGTTTACATGAATTTTTATAGCTGTCTTGTTTTCTTTCTTTTTTTAGTATTAAACGACAAATTGCTGCTATTGATAAATTATATGAACGTGGAATGTATTTTTTTGATTATGGTAATGCATTTTTACTTACAGCTAAACATGCAGGTATGATTCGACATTATAAATTTTTATTTTAATTAAAGTTGGCTTTTTCTAAGGTGCTCCGGTTGGTGGTGATGATGGAGATCGAAGTATTCGATTTAAATATCCATCATATGTTCAAGATATTATGGGAGATATATTCTCACTTGGTTTTGGACCATTTAGGTTGATATTTATTTTTTTTTTCTATGTTTATCTTATTTTTTTAGATGGGTATGTACATCAGGTTTGGCAAGTGATTTACAAGAGACAGATAAGATTGCTCAAGATGTTATTAAAGATCTTATGTCAAATAAAGATAATATGTATCAAATATAATTGTCTTTGTTTTTTGTAAATTTTCAATGAATAGCTCCGAATAATGTTCTTGAACAATATAATAATAATTTAAAATGGATACAAGAAGCTGAAAATGCAAAATTAGTTGTTGGCTCTCAAGCGCGAATTTTAGATTCTGATCAAATGGGTAGAATTAATATTGGATTAGCATTTAATCAAGCTGTACGAACAGGTCGATTAAAAGGACCAATTATTTTATCAAGAGATCATCATGATGTATCGGGTATGGATTCACCTTTTCGTGAAACAGCAAATATTGAAGACGGATCTGCATTTTGTGCAGGTTTGTATTAAAAACGAAAAAAAAGAATACTTGTTTTTTTTTCAATAGCTCGATTTTCTCTTAGATATGTCTGTACAAAATGCCATTGGTGATTCTTTTCGTGGTGCAACATGGGTTGCATTACATAATGGTGGTGGCATAGGGTGGGGTGAAGTTATGAATGGTAAAGAATTTTATTTGTTTGTTCTTTTAAAGTAACATTTTTTTAGGTGGTTTTGGTATGTTTCTTGATGGAAGTATAAAAGCTGATGATAATATTCGACACATGTTATATTGGGATGTAATAAATGGTGTTAGTCGTCGATCATGGTCAGACAATAGAAATGCTCGTCAGACAGTAGAACGAGCTATGGCTAATTAATCAAAACTTAAAGTGACAATGCCAAATGAATTGGCTGAAGAATGTGTGAAGAAGTTATCCTTCTAAAAACAAAGATTTTCACCCCAAGAAAACTTATGAAACATCGTGAATGACACTGTAGATGTGCAAATACTTTGCTTAATATATACAGAGTAGTCCGTAGCAGAGATCCGCAAAGCAGCTGAAAAACCTTTTCGCTATCCCCCTCCCCAACCTTTTCTTATTTTTTCAACCATATTTAACAATTACTATTTCTTTTATTTGATACAATCAAATAAAATACATTTAATACATAAAAAAGGTTAAAAAAACAATATAAAAATCTATAATGAGGTCAAAATGAATACCTATCATTTATTTCTTTTTTACTGAATGTATAAACAATACGTTGTTTATTTGTTGTGAATTTAATCGAGTACGTCTGGAGTTGACTATCAAACCACCAGCACTAAACTGGCGTTCCATATTAGCTGCAGTTACTGGAATTGAAGAAAGTGATCGAGCAAGTGTTGATAAGATTGAACAAATGAATCGTAAGGATATGGGACAACATCGTCAAATTTCATGCCTTGCCCTACGGCGAGGTGGTATAATTCGGTGATTGGCGAATCTCTGTGCAGTAGATCATGAAGGAAATTATGGAGAAGCTTCATCTTCTCTGTGGCTAATACAGACTGTTCAAGCGCATCAATATTGTCAGTGTATCGAAATCGACCCAATTTCGTCAGCTTTAACAGATTTCAAAAATTGCTCACTCGTTTCGGTACAATACACGATGATACAACATTTAAAAAACACTGATGGTCTGCCAGTGACTTTTTCTCAGTTCGAATTACATGGATTGCAATGTGGACCAAGTCGTTTCGCTTCATTAAGATATTTGTTTACTAACGAATTCGAGTTATCGTATGAGATAAGTTGACTTGCCCCATAAGATAACTCGAATCTTTTTTCTCATTGGAACAATCGAATAACTTGCTAAACAGATATCTCCATCAAAAGAATACACCTATTCTATAGGGTACGTCGACCTGTTGCGTGAAAAAACTCGAATACTCTGTGCAACAAATATATCGATGGCAATACACACATAAACTTTTTAGAAAATTCTATTTTAATTCAATTTTTTAAGCTGTTGACATATTTTCAATAATAATTTAATATAAGTAGGTGTATTCTGATTTATCTGGCCAATAAGAATTTTTCATTGTACAATGTCATGTGCTTCTATAAGCGTGTTCATATATGCCCTAAATTTGTTGAACTGCTTTAAACGATGACCACAAATGGCATATTCATAATATATTAAAATGCAATTTTTGAAAGCACGTAACAGATGACATAGGCTGACACCATCTTTCGTGCTTAATTTATACAAGAGTGCTTATTCAATGCTGTTGCAAGCGAAAAATCAGCCTTACCAAAGCTAAAAAAGTGTATTTTTTTTTGAATGGTCGAATATTCATTTCGAGATGCAAACTTTATTATGTAGAATTGATGTAGCCTATCTTTGCCCTACGGTAGATCAAACAGAAGCAGTACTATTATTACAGAAAATGAGGGACTGTTTGAAATCGAAACAGATTGGTAGATTAAAAGTTGAAACAATCATTAGATTAAATCAGTTTATTTTGCAAAATAATTGTTTTTCTTACAATGGCTAATTCAATCATAAAATTCGAAGTGCGAAGCTATGGGCTCTCCTCTTACATTGCTGTTGCTAATTGTTATGTTCTTTTATAAACCAAACATAGTGAAACAAGTCAATAATAGTAATGAATTATACTTTCGATAGATTGACGATATATTTTTTGTCATTAATTGGTCTCAGCATAATTTATTAAAACAAATTGAACAATAAAATTCAAGAGCCTCGAACATCAAAATTCACTGTAGAATTCGATCTTACGAACAACTTTCTTGATTTATATATTAAAAATATAAAAAAATGATCATGTATTTACTAAAATATATCTTATGCCGTCATATGAATCATTTTATCTTCCTTTCAATGACATTTATCCGATGCATATGAAGAAGAACATTATATTTACTATGGGGTGTGGGTGTGGGGCGAGGGTGTGGGTGTGGGTGTGGGTGTGGGTGTGGGTGTGGGTGTGCTGATTAAGACAACACCCACACCTACACCCCTTATGATCTATGATATCACAAGATCATATGTTTACTTTCTTTTTCCTTTTTCTCACGTATTATTATCAATATAAAGCGTATTTTTCTATTTCAAGTGGTCAGATATGTGTTTGTGTTTGAGTGTGTGGACAAAAGAACTGAAAGAATTGAAGTGAACTGGTATAAACATAGCACATCGTAGAATAAAATTACATGTTAAATATCAATCAGATTGTATCTTGTCATTAGGCATAAAATAGCAATTTCAAATATTTGCAAATAAAACGTGGACATTTTTTTTTATCTTAAGATCTATTTCCTATAGCCCCAAGGCACTATAAACAACATTTTTTAGAGCTGAGCTTTCGATTGTTACAATAGATAATCAACAGAAAAGAATGCCGGTTTTCTGATTTTTGAAACACATTTATGCGATCATATTATCTTCTTCTTTTCCAAAAAGTTTATCATATATATCAATTTTGTACTATTGAAACAAAGCCATAGTATCTAATTGCGTTACCCATTGTAAAACAGATGTTCTACAAAGGACTATGTATTACCATAAAACAGATGTTCTACAAAGGATTATGTATTACCATAAAACAGATTCAAACAAATTGCTGTTGATTCAAACAGACAATGTAATATGTACCTGTAAAGTGAATAAGTTTATGAATAGGGCGGTATTGGAAAAAAGCATGCGTTATCTATTATACATTGATATGAAATTTCGATGCCCTTTATTATGTTTGTATGCTTGAAAACTACTTATTTTCTGCTAGGTGGAAGCGATAAAAGTAGCGACACCGTTTTAGTAGAGATTTATTAACAGACGCTCTTTCAATGAGGAAACGACTGAACACGTGTCAGTCATGCCATTCACTAGTTTGTCAACATTAGTGTACTACAAATAATCAAGTAGTCAGACTCAGATAATATCTTGGATGTTAACTCAATAAAATTCTTCGGTGGCCCATAAAGTATAATGTTAAGAAAAGAAATTCAAGAAAAATTGAAAAACTTCAAAGTTTTTCAGATGAAAATATCTAAAAAATAATCCGATTTGTGTTGTAAATGATTTTGGTATGTTCAAGAAAAAGAGATATTTGTTTTCTATTTCCTATAAAAGTGTTCAAAAGGAATATTAGATTATATCGTCCTGAAGTATCTTCATGAGCCATCAATCACAATATAAAACAATTCGAAAATTATCTTTATTGAAGAAAATATCTGTACAAAAATGTGTGAAAGTATTTTTACACACATGTATAGATTGCATCTTATCACTAGACATTAAATTCCAATTAGATTGCATACTATGGCAATAGATATGACAATTTCTAACAGAGGAAGTGACGAAAGATATTTTGCCTGTATAAAAATGCCTGTAGAAGTTCGATTTCAATGCAGTTTTTTCTTTCCCTTTATTTTGGAACAAGAATATGTACACTATGAAGGTCTCTTACTTTATCTTACCTATTTTGCTTCTTGGCATATGTTTGCATCGTCAAATTTACGCGGAAAATGTGGATTTAAAACCATGCTTTGCTGAAGACTGGATTCGATGCGGTATTGCTGTCGGTAAGGTAATTTATGGAATGTACGGCTCATGGAGTGATATAGACGAAAAACAAGTTTTTGGCACAACGTGCAAGTCACAATTCAAAGGCAATATTTATCGCTGGCAGTTGGTATGGAGTGGCAAATTCTGGTGTCCATCGTTAAGTTCAGGCGTCATGGGAGAAAGTAGAAATTGGAAAAGTCGAGCTGGAGCGATCGAACATGCTATCCAAGATTATGTCACGAAAATGACATCAGCGGGCTTACTGACACCATCACAACTACAAGGATAGCCAATTCATGTAGAATTTACTTTGACATATAACTTTTGCCCTCATACATTCTCATGTTATTCATTTTTCGTGTTTTTTTGTTCTAAATAATTTGCACTTTCACTGGTGAAGGTGTGAGTATGGATGTGGGCGTTGATGTAGGCATCCATAATAGAACGTAACATACTCTTTATGGTCTTTTGTAGCAATTCCGAGACTTGTGCTTCATAGTTAAAATGTACATTCATCTCTTCGAGTTTATTTTTCATTCGTAGATTATTTTCTGTCATAACTGTTAACTGTTTAGTGAGTGCTATGAGGGTATTTGCTATGTCAGCTGATTCGACAGTTGATTGTTGACGACATATCTGCTTTGAATCCCAAACAGGAACAATGTTTTGAGTTTCATGTGGCAATAGTCGGAAGTCATCTGGATTGATATATGGTATTTGTTTCAGAGGTTCAAGTCAACGCAGTAAAGCACGTGAAAGTGCAATGTCGACTTCCACTTTCAGATGTGCTTTTTATGTTTTAATATTCTGACACTGACTACTAAGTGAGTGATGATTTCAATCACATTGCGCGCAGTTTGGCTGTTGCGAGTAGTTATGGGTTTGGTTTTCAGTGATTTCTTGAAGACATATACGACAATGGGCAGATGAAGCTTGATATCTGTTTCTGAGGTGTCCAATACACCAACATCGAGTAGAATAAGTTATGGATGCGTGTGGGTGGGGGTGTCTTTGCAGTCCCAAACATCTACACCCACACCCTTTTTTCTTGGTAGCACTCATGGTAAACTTTTCATCTTGAATACATTACTTTTGTGAAACACGATCTGAAAGGAGTGTTGAAGTGTTTAGAGGTAGAAATTTGCCCCCCCCCCCACAGACCGTTACAGACAGGTAATTCCCCCGTCACAGACCGTTACAGACAGGTAATTTCCCCGTCACAGACCGTTACAGACAGGTAATTTCCCCGTCACAGACCGCTACAGACAGATAATTTTCCCGTCACAGACCGTTACAGACAGGTAATTCCCCCGTCACAGACCGTTACAGACAGGTAATTTCCCCGTCACAGACCGTTACAGACAGGTAATTTCCCCGTTACAGACCGCTACAGACAGATAATTTTCCCGTCACAGACCGTTACAGACAGGTAATTCCCCCGTCACAGACCGTTACAGACAGGTAATTTCCCCGTCACAGNACACCAACCTTGATCATATCGTTTTTTTGCAGCTTCTTCTAGCATTCCGAGGATGAAAGTATTTTGTGTCGAAATTTTGGCTCCTCCCCCCTCTAAAAAAAATCAACAATTCCAATAGCAATTGATAAGCTTTTTTGTATACCCGTAGTCTATTAACAGAAATACAACTAGCATTTCAATTTACAATCTCAATGAAAACTCATATTTTCATCATAGATTACGATTACAAATGCAGCTCGAAAAAAATTCGGTACAAATGATCTTCGTGGAAAAGTATTTGTTTCATCAGGTAATATAAATAATCTACGTGGTGTTGAATGAAAAAATTTACTTATTCATTAGGTTTGGGTGGCATGTCCGGTGCTCAACCAAAAGCATGTCAACTTCTTGGTTGTGTTGGTGTTATTGCTGAAGTAAGCGAAGAAGCTGCAAAAAAACGATATGATCAAGGTTGGTGTCAAGAATTAATTTATGATCTAAATCAATTAATTGCTCGTATTCGGGAATGTCGAGAAAAAAAATTAGCAACATCTATTGGCTTTGTTGGTAATGTTGTTGACGTTTGGTTAGTAGGTTTTCTTTTAAATAAATTCATTTATATTAAAATTATTTTCTTTAGGGAACGTTTAGCAAATGAAAAAGAAACACTTGTGGATATTGGTAGTGATCAAACATCATGTCATATTCCATATCAAGGTGGATATTATCCAGTTCAAGTAAATTAAAAAAAAGAATTGGTTTATTTTTCTTGTTTGATATAATTATTCGTACTATTAGTTGTCATATGATGAAGCTCGAAAATGCATGAAAAATGATCCGACAAAATTTAAAGAACTTGTTCATGAAAGGTTATTTTACTTAGTTTATATATCAATTTTTATAGCAGCCTTGTTTTCTTTGTTTTTTTTTTAGTATTAAACGACAAATTGCTGCTATTGATAAATTATATGAACGTGGAATGTATTTTTTTGATTATGGTAATGCATTTTTACTTACAGCTAAACATGCAGGTATAATTCGACATTATTAATTTTTATTTTAATTAAAGTTGTTCTTTTTTTCTTAAGGTGCTCCGATTGGTGGTGATGATGGAGATAAAAGTATTCGTTTTAAATATCCATCATATGTTCAAGATATTATGGGAGATATATTCTCACTTGGTTTTGGACCATTTAGGTTGATATTGATTTATGTTTTTTCTATGTTTATCTTATTTTTTTTTAGATGGGTATGTGCATCAGGTTTGGCAAGTGATTTACAAGAGACGGATAAGATTGCTCAAGATGTTATTAAAGATCTTATGTCAAATAAGGATAGTATGTATCAAATATAATTGTCTTTGTTTTTTTTGTAAATTTTCAGTGATTAGCTCCGAATAATGTTCTTGAACANACTATAGACCTGAAGTTTCTTTATCTAACAGACATGTCAGAATGAAAATCCCATTGAAGATACATTGCATTATTATACATTTTTCGAAAAGGTTCCCAAAAAAGATTCGTTAGATAATGATCTCAGCTTGCATAATATTATATCAAAACATGTCCTAACTCAGCTTCTTTCGATTGGTGAAAACCACAGATCGCTAACTATTGCCGTTCTCGAATCCACACTTAATTCTGGTGACGACAATAATAAAAAAATTTTCGGCGCCATCTATAATAAAAAAAGGTTCATCTCATAACTGGTGCCAATTAGGGCTCTATGCCTAGTACAGACGGCGCAGCTGCTCTTAAAAATGTCATGCGTCTTACAAGACGGTGCATTCGTCTATAGTCCAGTTTAGACGCTAGTTAGACGTACGATGCATCTTAGTTTTAGACACTTGAATTAAATAGACATTGACGCGTCTTATTTTTATTTAGACACTTAGATCTCATAGATACTGATACGTCTTGTGTTGTATTGTAATTGAAAATGTGGCCAATCAGTCATAAACACAGAATGGTGATGCATTAAAATGGATTTTATGAAAAATATTTTTAAAGAGTATTTTTTTTTAAATCGACTACAAATGGTAGCTTCAGATAATTACTTTAGTTCATTATTCTTCTCCTAAGATAACTTAATGTAATATTGCCTAGACTAGTTTTACTTGATTGACAAGTAAATTTTCTTTCATGTCTAAGATCGTTAATTTATTATAGATTGCTGATGTGCATTGTCGTCTATTTCTAACTTCGTTCTAAAATATTTCTAACAAGTAAAATGATTAAGTTTATATTCACTGCTTTTAATTTATATTGTTTTACTCTATACCATTTTTCTTAGGGCTTATTTCTTTACATCTACGATTAAAAATTATTTATAAATGAATTTAGTATGTCAAGCAACATTATTTATAAACACATGTAACTAGATCTCATAACTATTATCCTGATTGCTACATACTGACTCTATAATTTAAATATCAAATTATTAAGACAAGGTAAGAAAGATTTGTTCTCTAATTCATTCTGTACCTCTCAATGTTAGGTGGTATTTGTATTCTACAGCTGCTGTAGTATTTTCAGGTATTATTGAAATCAAACATTGAGTTAATATGTAAGAAAGCTATTTGGAATCATGTTATTGTTTCATATAACTAAAAACAACAGCGACACCTGAATATTGTTTTACTTATGAGTTGCTAATATATGTTTTTAAAGTTACACATTAATAATATTACTTTGATAGTAATTAGAATTCTTTACCAAAATGTTGATAATTACAATGTATTTTAAGGGCTAGTGTTTTCATATATTTGTTAAAAAAAACCACAATGCCATTATTCATTACAGTGTATGCAATCAACATTTAATCATTGAGAAGTTAATAGTACAATTAAAACTTCAAGTATTTAAAGAGATTATGTCAAGTTATTTTGAAGAAAAAATCAGTTTTGAATATAAATAAATAAATAAACATACACATAAATTATTTCTTTTTTTTTCAGATTTTCGCTTATATTAATATTCCAAACATGTATGCGCCGGTAACTCGTTAAAAAGCTTTGCCACTCGAAAACATCAGGTGATCAACGAGCTACTAATTCTAGAAATAACTATATTTGGATATTAATAGTGCGAAATAAAAAATATTTGCGATAAAATCATTTTATTGTTTTTTATCAATTTTTTCAAACTTACTTTAATTTTTACAAATATTTTTTAACAAGATGTTAAGTTAAATTTGAGAAAAAAATTCTTTTATTCAACAGTACTAATATCGAAATGCAATCATTTTTATATTTAGTAGCTTGATAATCAGCTGAAGCGTCTAAATTAGCTATATAACAACTAATCAGAACTAGATCAAAGTGTCTTGTACAAGCAGATGAACTGACTTGCCTATAAACTTGAAGAATCTTAATTTTTTTTAGAGTGAGATGCATCAACATCATCGTAGGCCATCAAAATCAACTCAATTCTGTCAGTTTTAACAGACTAAAAAAAACATTCATCCACTTTGATATCATACACCATGAATGATCACTTTAAAAAAGAATTGTCAGTATAGCGCGCACTGTATCCATCGGTACACAGGCGATTTTTTTCTAGTTCGAATCATATGAGTATATAAACAGATCCATGTGTTCATACATTCGTTCTTCAATGAACATATTCGATCGTGTGTTTCTTGGTACGATACATAGTTGGTTTTTCTCGTTGACTGCCGATATAGATATCTGTCTTTTCTTAAGTACAATGAAGCGAAAGCGAACGTTACTTTGGCTATCCTTGCTAATGCTCGTTTGCGTAGAGGTTTCAAAAAAATATAATTTGAAATTATAAATTCATATTATGACCTGTAATGTCATAAAATTCTTATAGCAAAAAAAAATGCTCTATAGCGTGAAAATATTTAAATCTTTCATTGTAAAATTACTTATGGACTATCCCCTATATATTTTTTGTGATGAATTTTCAATACCATAGTTTTATATATGTATGGCTCTGTGAATGTCTACCAGAAGAAACATACTGAACCTTTTATATTCCAAAGAAACACAAGTGCGAAGAAGTATAATGTATTCTACTTATGACCTGTTTAATAACTCGTGTCATGATACTAAACACATCTACTTCTAACATGACATTCATACGCAATAATATTTAAAATAGAATTCTTTTTTGGTTCATTTTACTGTTCGATTTAGAACGATTATCAAATGCTAACAAGGTTTTAATCATTTCTTTCTACAGTCAACATGTCTCGATTCGTCGACAATGAATTGCTTTGTTTTTCTTATTATGACATACAATTAGAACTAAACGAACTTTTGGTGACATAAGAAATGACATTTTCAATATTACTATATATTTTTCAAATAAAATAATCTAGAAGAAGAATGGTGATTATTCTAATGATAAACTAGGCTATAAATGAACGTCATTTGTTTGAAAAAAACAAGATGAAGTATCTGGTATTTATCACGAGTGCTGTTTTATTAAATAATTTTCTCGATAAAATTAATCGAGTCAATCTTCTGAAGTATTCAACAATGACAATCAATTCTAAAGAAATAAATAACCGAAGAACTCCATTATCAATACTTTTAAGATGCATTGAACAGATGAACTGTCCGCCTATTTAGATTTATTTATAGGATATTCTTTTTCTTTTCTCTTACATCGTATAGATTGTCTATCATTTATGGAAATATTTATATAGAGTTCATATCGATTCTCGTTCTTATTTTCTTAACAAAATACAACAATTATGTTTCATATATCTTTAATTTTCTTACCATTCATATTTACTATTTTAACAATGACAATGGCTAATCCATGTCCATGTGAATTGATTGCTAACGAATCATTATCAAATAATCCTGCAAATACAATTATGGATCCAACAATGAATCAGTTAGTTGACGATGAAACTCTTGAAGATTATCTTGATCAACTTACGGCTCCGTCACAATCACAAACATCAACAGATTTATCTTCATTATATCCATTATTTCGAAAAATCAAAAGTATAGGAACAAATCGTAAACGTTTTAAAAGACCAAGTTGGGCAACTGTTGGAAAACGAGCTAATTATATTAATAATAAACGACCATCATGGGCTCAAATTGGTTAAAAAGACTATTTAATTACGCAATATTCTGTTTAAAATATATAATAAAAAAAAATAAAAATAATTTGCATTTCTCTCATTTAGTCTCTTTAGATTTTCTAAAATTTGATAATCATCCATAATTGATTAAAAAGTACTCGATACTATTATTTGTCTACTACTAATAAAATTTGTTTGACTGATTTATTGATTATTGCTTTGCTTTTATTTTTTGCTTCGATTTGAATATGGTAGCAAACATAGATCTATGGTCGGCTAGTTTTTCATCGTATAAAATTAAATTTTTTCGTTTCTTATTTCAATAAAAATAAAAGAAAGCTTGATGCATTTCGTTATCACTTGACAAAATAAAATCAATGATTTTATTTTTCAATTGTCATAAGAATTTATCTATATGTATGCATAAAGATTGCAGAGAAACAGAAGTTTATGTTTACCTTGAATTGTAATGAAGTTCTCGAGACATAAATATAGCCTTATTTTGTAATCAAACTCGTACACAAATCATTTTTTTCGATATAAATTCATTTTATCTGACATAAATCAGTTAATTTGTCATTGATTATACAGAGTAAGGAAAAAAGATTCGTCAATCTTTTTTATGCATGTCAAAAAAAACAAAGTAAGATTAATATAAAAGAATGGATTGTAAATCTAACAAGGTCGATCAAATCAATATATAAAAAACCCATCCATAGAAAAGAGAAAAAAAAAGGACAGGATATATAGACATACCAAATAACAACAGCAAGTTTCTTGACATTATTATTTTGATCTTACCATATACATAAAAAAAGAAAGAAATTTGATCACTTGTATTTCTCCTCCTACTCATTTATCGACGTCATGATTAACAAATATGTATCATAGCAAAAGATAAAGACAATGAATTCTATTTATATCAAAAACTAATAGGAAAGCAAAAAAAAATCTGGGACACACAACACACATTTTTCATTATTTAAAATAAACTTTATTGGCGTCTGTTCTTTTTTTTAAATACATCGGTTGATTTGCCATATGTTGCAATAACCGTATCTTCAATTTCACATTCACCAAAACGAATATGAAAATAACCGTTGTCACCCCATCCAGTACCCCATGAATTAGCTGCAATCCAATAATTTTCTTGTTTTTGTGTACCTGGATCAGTTTTTACACCCCAACCAAGTAAACGAATTGAATGATAAGCATCTAAATTAGCATAACGAGGATTTTGATTATGATAACTTGATCCACCACAACCATAAACACCAGATTTATATAAGA